TGAACCTATATGGGATACGATATGCATAGTAAAGACTAACTTTATTTATTCATATTGGATTCAATTTCAAGGGAACATTAAAAGCAATTGTTCCTAAATGCAGTCCTTGTCAACCAAGTATTATTTCGTAAATGAAGTTAATGTAAAATAATTATTTGAATCAGAGTCTTTAATAAATAGTATATAAATAAAAAAAATGGCTTTGCGCGTTTCTTTTATATTTACACCTCTGTGTTTACTCTTCGAAAATTACTTTCTGCAGCCAAGTTAATTTATGCTGTTGATCTTTTTTTATTAAAGTTCATAAACCCAATACATTTATAAATTACACATATGTAGACTTAAAATTCAAAATGTAAAATATAATTGGAATTCATGAAAACGCGTATCCGCAAAAGGAAAAGAATTTGATCGAAAATTTTTAGTATTTTTTGTGAAATTTTTTCTTGTCTTTTGAGGCTCCAGGAAATCCTTTTTTCACCGTCACTTTTTTCCTCTCTTTCATACCGAGCACTTCATCTTTTATGTCAGGCACTTCATCTTTCTTACGAAGTTTTTTCATACCAAACTTTTCAACTTTCTTGCGAGGTGATTTCATATGAATTTGGCTTAAGATTTTATCAGTTAATTTTCTCTCTGTTTCTTTCGCCTTCTCTTTCGCTTCGGTAATGTCATCAGTACCATATTCTTTTTTTAGTTTTTCTTCATACTCTAACTTCGCCTTATATCCAAAGTAGACTGGATCTGTTCTTTTCACGTATTCATAACATACTCGACGCTCGTTTAAAACAAATTTGATCCTCGCCATGGCTTTTACGCACTGTTACAAAATAGAAAAAGTAAAAAATAAATGGGAAGGAATATAAAGAAAATCCAACAGACAACATAAAAATTACCTTAAAATTTCTTTTTTGGTGAGCTTCTGCCCAAGGACCTTCATACTTGTTAAATCTTTTAGCTTCTTGTTTCATTGTGGCCAGCATATTTCGTTCCTTGAGTAAAATGTACCATAATTTGTGCAAATCATCAAATTTTTTTTTGCGAAGTTCAGCTGCTCGCCATGAGCGTCCTTTCTTCCCCAAAAAAGAGAATTAATTGGCTAAAATAATCCAAGAAATATTAATTAAAGTATTGCAAATTTATTAGTAAAGAGAAAACACACCGACTTTTAACTCGTCAATAGTCGCTAACGCCTTTTTTCCATCTAAAAAGAACTCATACAAGCCTTGTACATCTCGGTGTTTCTGTACCAGCTCAGTACCAGTGCTTTCGGGATTTTGTGAAGTCTTCAAAGAGCGTCGAAAGCAAGTTATAATTTTGAGGTTGAGTCGATTCTGACTCGAAGGTTTTAATAAAATAGAAAAATTCATAAATCCAATTTAAACAGTTGGACAAAAACGCGAATTTTTTTTTCTGACAATCATCGCATTTTGATCATCGATAATCTTTTTGAGTATCTAAAGACACCACGTCAGAAACTTATAATGGTTAACCTGGGAATTATTGGTGTAGGCTTAGTTGGTTCTGAGCTCATTTCACAGTTACTTTCCTATTCCAAGCACGCCTCTTCTTACTCCCCAACATTTAAAGTTGTCGCTCTTGCAAATACCTCCAAGCACCTTTTGAGTAACGCGTCTTACGATTCAATAGACCTCTCTTCGTGGAATTCAATCCTAAAAACAAACGGTGTTCCCGTAAATATCGATGCTTTTGTTGAGTATCTCTCGAATAGCCCTGATACCGCAGTTGTAATTGATAATACTGCTAGCCAGGAAATTGCCCATCTATATCCACAGTTTCTGAGAAAAGGTCTTCATATTGCAACCCCAAATAAGAAAGCATTCTCGGGTGATATAAAACTTTATAAAGAGATATTGGCAGAAGCAACGAGGAACCGTAAATTAGTTTATCATGAGAGCAGTGTGGGTGCTGGTTTACCTGTGCTGAGTACGTTAAATGATTTGATTAAAACTGGCGATGAGATTATCAAAATCGAAGGAATTTTTTCTGGAACATTAAGTTACTTGTTTAACAATTTCTCTTATTCGAGTATCAGCAATGAATCACCTAAATTCTCTGAGATTGTTATGGTTGCCAAGAATAGCGGATACACGGTAAAATTCATGCATAAATATGTGATTTCAAATACTTAAGATTCGTAGATAATATTATTCCAATATAGGAACCAGATCCTCGCGATGATTTGAATGGTCTAGATGTAGCCCGCAAGGTATTCATATTGAAAATGTAAACATAAATTTCCTATCTCGAGATCTTTAATTTATGCCTATTATAGGTTATTATACTCGGTCGTATTGCGGGTTTAGATCTTACTCTTGAAACGTTACCCGTCGAAAATATTGTTCCGGAAAGTTTACGCGCTGTACCTACCTCCGCAGAATTCCTAACTAAATTGCCCGAGTTTGATAATCACTTTGAAAGTCTTAATCAAAAAGCGCGAAGCAGCAATCAAGTTTTGAGATATATTGGGACGGTGGATGTGAAAGGTGGCAATAGTTCAGTCAAGTTGATGAGGTATATTTAACACAATTGCCAAGCTTTTATTATGGTTATTACTAATTAATCGAATCCCTTTCAAAAGTTTGCCAGTCTCTCATCCGTTTGCGTCACTTAAGGGAAGTGATAACATTATAGCATTTACCACACGACGATTCCCAAATCCACTTATTATCCAGGGTGCTGGAGCAGGTGCTGCAGTAACGGCTTTTGGAGTTTTTTCGGATTTATTTAAAATTGCGGAAAGAAGTAGCTGAAACGAGTTCCTTGTTATTGACAAATAGGTTATTAAAAAATTATATCGTTTCAATGTAAAAAAGAAAATCGGATTAAATTAAAAAATTACAAACAATAAAATAAAAAATATAGAAATTTCATTAAGTCAAAAAATAAAAATAAAATGAATTTACAAATAAAGAACTTTAGATAAATAATGAAATCAAGATACAACGCTAATTAACAGTGCTTCATATTTCTTTCCTATAGTGTAATATATTCTTTACTTAATAAACTTCTTAGTAAGTCATTCACCACCGGGAGTTTAGAATTTGACTCCGTTGACTTATTTTCACCTTCTGTCTCTTTGCCCTTTCTTTTACGTAAACCCTCATCACTTTGGTTATTGTCCGCTTGCTGTCCTAATTCTAATCGTTTTCGGTCAATAACTTCGACCATTCTTTGATATTGATAGAAGAGCGTTTCTGCACGACGTAAGGTTTCCTCCAATGATATGGTCATCGAAAGATCATTAATATACTAAATAATAGCATATAAATTAGTATATATGCTATAACTAATAATTACAAGTTATTTGTGATTAAAGAAAATTTTAAACCTTTAGAATCTCATCAAAATTGTGAAGATGATCCATTATGACTAGACGATGTTTATCCAAAATAGCTAACGCGATAAATATATGGAATTGGCCTGTCAAGTGATCAGTCCAAAGAACTTCCCAAAGACGCGGTACGTCATCCCATTTAAATTCGCGTTTAAACCATATTAAAAGCCAACGGAAACAACAGAAAAGGTTCAAGGATTCGGTCCTTTCTAATAAAGGATGAAGAACGTTAGATATGGTTTGGAAGAAAACCGTTTCTGTCATTATAAAAGCACTTACGAAGATGTTTATAAAGCCTCGGATCCATGAATTGTATTAAATGGTCGAGAGTTAGTAATTGACGACGCATACCAGATTGATCTCGGTAAAAATTTGATTTCTAAAGATCCAACAATTAATATTATATGCGATCAAAGTTCTATAATCCCGAATTATTTCTCATGGTACTTTACCATTCTCTCCATAAAGCCAGCAAATGCCCAAAAGGAGGTAACTTCGTCAAGCATAACAGCAAAAATTGGAGCTAACAAATCACTCATTCCTTGTACATAGCCTACATAAATTGATAATGTTAAATATGAGAGGTGAAAAGAATCATTTAACGTTCAACATTTACCAAGGTCTGTATTATAAAAGTTATAAGTCATAAGAATATCCTTCATTAATTCCAAATTCTTATTTGTGAAATTTGAGGAGGATGATAAAGGTTCAGGATGAGGAATATCTTCATTCATAAAAAAAGGTACTGTCCGATCTGTGCGTACGACATCTTTCTCTATATATTTCTGAAATTTAGTATAGAATTAATCGTAAAATTACTCAATTTATATTGTCCAAACCTATTCTATTTTTCTGTTCTTGGAAATCAGCATCGTTGTGAATATCCGGCGAATCCCACCACTGACGTTTTAGACTCCAATATTCTTGACTAAAAAAAAGACAAAAAACGTGTTCATACATGATCCATTCCGAGCCGGTTTAAATGATAGGATAAAATACCTACGATTTTGTTTCCATTATATTTTCTCTTTCAACCTGGCTTGATTCCCAAGGATATAATCCTAAAAGGAATTTCCACACCTCTACACGGATATCTTCTTCTACACCCTTTGAATTTCAAGTAATGTCAAAACTTTGACATATTCTTTAAGCTTATATTATTATTAAATAATTATTAGAAATTTTACATACTCCGCGAAATATAGCAGCTCGAACTTCTTCGGTTTCAACTTGAAGTCGTCCTTCTGCGTCAAAGAAAACAAACCAATCGTCTGCTTTCAAAGGCGTGGTTCGCGTATGATTTATCGGGGGTAAACTTGCGTCGCTCTAAACAAATATTAATAAAACTACAATTCTTAAACAATTATAGCTATGGTATAAAAATAAAAGTCTTCAATTAATATTTAATAAAACATACGCTAAGGATTTCAAAGGCTCCCAGCTCAGTTTCCTCCTCCCAAGATTTAGAAGAGTCTGCATCATCAGTCAATGCAGCTGGTCGCGAATTGTTAGATTCTCCTTTTTTCTCTAATATGGCGGCAGCTTCAGCTTGTTCTGCAACGATGGCAGCCCATTTAGCTAAATATATTCTGCCAAAATCAAATTCGTGTATGTCATGTGTATTGGACTGAGTAGATTCATTCTGAACAAGTGAATTGACAACTGGAAGATGTGGAAGTATAGGACGCGCAAGAGGATGATCGAGTATAGAAGTTGCTGTATCACGAGTAAAACGTGATACCTTGGAAAACCTTTCAAGAACATTCCATTGAATTTCTTTGAAAGTCTAAATTTCAAAATTCAATGTAATTATAAATTCCATGTGTGCATTAATGAAATCAATAAGAAATATTGAAGTGAAAAGTCTTACAGCCGTTAAGGAGTCCATTTGTAACGAGGATTCAGTCCCAGAGGCACTTGTTCCGCTCATAGAATCATCTAAAATAGGCGGACTATGATTAGATACATCTTCAGGCGATGGATTTATTAGAAATAGGTTGGGCTCGATAGAGGAACTATTATATTTCAAATCAAAGAATCAAAATGTTTTAATAAATTTTCACATCATTATCTGGACAAAAAATCAAAACTTTTTGAATGGCATGCATTTGCAAAAATTATGAATTGGTGTTCCAAGTTGACATAATATTAGTCAACTTAGTCGATTAAGTAGTCGAATTATTTACTTAATATAGTAGAAAATATGGGGTGCTGTAAAATGACAATCCTTTTACAACACGACCATGTTAAATGATAGTCATATCACGTGATTGAATTACCAAATTTGGAAATTTCGTGAGTTGATCTTTAGTCGAGTAAATAATTTAGATTCGTAATGAAATTGGATATTACCTATGAACATGACAAAGTTTCTTGAGCAAAGAAATTACTTCGTCACCTCCCCATGTAATAGTATTATGTTCTGTTTCGTTTGTCTCCTCTTTCTGATTGTATGTATGCTCAGAAACTTTTCCCTGCCTTCTACGCTGAAGTCTTGTACTTCGACTCTCGTCATCATGAAACACAAAAGCAGGCAATGTGTTGCCTCCAATAAGATTGATTATAATAGAGCCGTACCATTGCGTAAATTTGGGTAGTTTTACCACAATAGAGTAAATAGAAGAGATCGGAGTAGAAGTAGCATATAAGGTTTCCGCACTTGGAGGTGATACATTCGTGAGAGATACAGGTGGAGATATTAATATTGTTGCTATAAATAAACATAAGAATCGGTGATCTTTGGATAATTATCTTATACTTTAGAAAAACAAATAACAAAACAATATCATACATCCAAGCTCGTGTCCATCATCATCAATTTCCCCTTCAACCAACCAATCTTCGTCCTCTTCCGAATTTATTTGACAAGGAAAGGCTTCCACTTGAACATAAGTTTCTAATTGTTCAGCCGAGAGTAATGACTCCGGAGTCCAAGCTAAATAATAATTTTTTGGCGACTTTGTTTGAAAAACGGAAAATGATATTAAAATTGGAATAGCTTATCACAAGATTTGTATTATCTGACTTCTTACCCGTTCAAAAATAGAAATATATCCAGGAATGCTATCCGCGTCGTTTTTACTAGGATGAACATATACTTTGCTTTTTGAATATACGAGTCTAACTTGTGATCCGTTCATTGGTTGTTCTAGCTGGTCTTGCTGGCTTGTGTTGAATATAAATTCTTCGGGCTATATATAGAATCGTTAAACATTTAATAAAGACTAAGGTGTATGCCAAAACTTTGAAAGCGAATCTCACTTTACCAGTATATTAGTCAGTTGTACCATTTCACTAGACGAATTCTTCGAAGTATCTTGTTTCTCTAAAGGTATTCCTCCACCCATTGTTCAGTTTGTAAATATATATCAAATTTTGCCAAGAAAAGAACAAGAGAAGTTTACGTGTCGTTATTTGACGTTGATCATAATAATGAATATTTAAAAATAGATTGATTTACCTAATTGAACCAATTTTTAATTTTTAACTTCGCGAAAAAAGTGCATTTTCGACTAAATGGATTTTTCTGCTGCTCACCAACAAATTGAAGAAGCCTGCGATGACATGCAGGTATATAACTTGATTAATCTCAACTCTTTATGATGCTCAAATTCGGTCGTAAAAGCCAATTTTCCTATTAAGTGACCATATATTACGAATTTGGCTTTCTCACTCTATAATTACCTTCCGAAAGGATCAAGTCAAAAGCTTGTCACATACTCATGTTAAATAACTACTAGAAGTTATTAAATTTACCCTTAGTTAACCAAAAAACTTGTTCCCTCGTTGTGCGAAGGTACCTGCTACTCGTCTTGCGGGAGAGCAAGTACTTTTAAGTTTCAAGCAGGCCTCTGGCAATTTGGAAGCTTGTAAATACATACTGGGTATGTTATTTGATTTATCTGATTTTATATATTATTGACGCATGAGTCTTTACTATGTCAAAAAAAAATAAAGTTCTTTATTGTTGGTGGTGAAATTTCATTAAAGTCGGCTGTTTTCTCTGGAATTTTTTAATTAATTATATAAATACTGTGAAAATTTCTAAATGCAATAGAACATACGCAAAATCATCGAGTTCAATTTTACATGGCATCCGCTATCAAAGAATCGGTGACTCGAGAATATAATTTTTATACAAAGGATTATTTATTGAATTTGAAAATTTGGTTATTACATTATTGTTTGAACCTGCCCAAGTATGTATAGTATTTGAGTTTGATGTTTCCCTTCTATGTATAGGATGAATTTGCATTTTAAGAAACGTTTTCTCTAAACTCCAGTTGATTCTAAAATGTGTATGATACTTAGTCTTGCTAATTATGCACGTGAACAGTTATTACATGCGATTTCCGTTATTACAAAGCGCAGTCTCGATGATTATTATGATGAAGAGAAGCAAGCTATATTAAGACAAGTACAAGAATTAGTTAACTCCACCGGCTATTCCGTAAGATCCCTTTTTCCTTTATTGTTATATCGTTATATTTTTTAAGCTATATTTATATAATTTAATACATTTCTGTCAGCAACAAATAGGTATTGGCCTGGCCAACGCATTAACTGATGAATTTTCGACTATAAAATCCAGTAATGTTGGTGTTACCTGGAACTTTCACAAAAAGAGTAAAGATTTCTTCGAGGTAAGATTTTTAAGTAAAAAATTCTCATCCTTTTTGAGAGTTTACTTCGGATTTTACTACAACGAGTCAAATTATGGTCTTTTTTAGGCGAATATTCTTTTACCATTTTTTGAGATTGTGCTTCGCGTTTTACATCAACGATTACAATTATACACAGTAAAAGAAAATGGTACTAAAACCAATTCTCATCGACCTGATCCTCGAGATGATACGCTTTTAGCGATTTCTGTTGCTCTGGCCGAAAAGATCTTAACCTGGGACTTTTCAGGCCCCAATGATACGGTATTAGCGGGAACATTTATTAAGGAGGAAAACGACTGTATGCTTCCGGAAGATGAGTTATTTATGACGGCCAGAACAAGAGCATTTCCACCTCATTGGAGAAGCATTTTATTAAATAGCGATGTCTTACAAATGTTTTTTACGGTATAGTAATAATTATTTAAGAGATGCTTTGAAATTATCTTAAATTAATCCATTTTATTACTGTGATTTTTAGCTGCTTAAAGCCGTACAGGAATCAGAAATGTTAGCACATAGAACCCGACAATGTTTAATCCAACTTTCAGGACTGCGCATTGAAATTTTCGAGAATGAAACCCAGATAAAGGAATATATGTCCATAATTATTCGTGGGATAATGTCTTTTATAAATGAGTAAGTGCTTTTGGATGTACAACATACGATATTTAATATCATTATCACCATTATCATCATAATTAATCCTTATATCGCATAGTCTCTCTGTTGATCTTCCAGAAAGGTCTGCGTCTTCTGAATATGGACCTAGGCTTCTTGGGGTGACCCAAATGATTAGACGGTTTCTTTGTACGATTCCTCTGGATATTTTATGTAGCAATTCAGAAATATATTCGTTTTTACAAGAAGTTGCGCAGTTAACTGCAATATGCCTCAGAGAAACAGCAACTGACAAGGATGGATTAGGCTACCTGGTAGAGGAAAGCACTTGGAGCATGGAAGCTTTTGACGAGTTATTAGCTATATGGGTAAAGTTAGGTAGGGTAATTTATATTTATTTCTCGAGTTTTTTAATTTTTTTAACTTGGTTTCTTTCTTTCGATACTAGTTCAAGATGTACAAAATTATATCAATCCCAATCCTTACTCAACGCATGAAATCGACTTAACACGCGTACAAATGTCTTCATTTAACCCAGCTGGAATTATGGGATTTTTAACTGAAGCCAGTTATCACATCACTGCCACATATATAGATACTCGCATTGAAATGGCTAAATTTTCAATATTTGAAGAAGATGATTATGGCGGATATAAAGATTGGGTAATTTATCATCACAACATCTCCTTAAACTACAATATTTCATTATTATTAATTTGTACGATCATATCTAAAGGATACTTATGGCGATCAGTTGATGAGCATCGCTATCTTGGGACGCGTCGTTGGGCAAAAAGCCTTGGAGAGATTGCATGGATTGCTTCATGAACGATACTCGCGATTAAAAACATTCTTTCATTCTGGGGTGGCAATAGACGGAAGCAGTATAGTGTCTTGTATTGAGTTTTTAAATCAGCATATAATTTGAATATTTACGCCCCATGGCTTTTCACTTACCAAAATTTTATTATTAGATAATTATCTAAACTCACTGCATGAGACTACTAATTGGTTGATTCTTATCAGTGGGTTTATGCTAACAGATTCAGGCGAAAGTGAAACGTTACTTGTTCCTGATGCTTTGATGAAACTATCAATATCTCAGGTAAATTAATAATTGGAAAAACGTATATAGAATTTAAATTGACATCATTAATAATGCCCATTTAGAGTAATCTTGGCAAAAATCGCGACCAAGTTGTAATGTTGTCAAAGACCATAATAGAAATTTTAGAACTTTTCTCTTTAGACGCGTCAACCGTAGAGGTATGCACTCTTTAATTTTATAATGATCATCATATATACAGTCCATTAACTATTACACACATCTCCGATATAAAAAGGCTTCCCATTGTAGTCCTCGAGTTGCAGAGACTTTATTCTGGTTCTTGGAAAGATGGGCAAAAACATATCTATTAATTGATGAAACATATTATTCGTCAATGAGGTTCCATTATTTTTAATTTAATTATTCGGTCGTTATTTTCTTTCAACTTACTAATTTAAATTATCGCTCATTTTCAAAGCCAGAATCTTATAGCCGCTTTTGGTAAACCAACTTCTCAAGGTGTAGGTATTCAAATACTGGAAATGATAATTGAACTTACAAAAAGAAACTTTGTGCTATGGAATGCCGATGTTGATCCACTATTACAGGTTTACTTCTCGATATTTTTTTTAAAGTTATTATTGAAGAACATGACTATTGATAAGAAATTTTTATATATAGATTGTGAGGATGCTCAATTCGTTCGCCAAAGAACCCGCATTGAGAAATGGTTTATTACAATCAGGTATGAACCATTATTAAGATTCATTGTATTTTAATTGAAAATTTTTTTAATCTCTAAATACAACAATTTGTTTTTTTTTGAATTTATAGAAAAATTTATACCGTTGATTACATTTTTCACAGATAGCTTGAATTCCCTTCCAGAAATGATACACAAGTTTGTATTTAGAGTATTTGACTTATTACATTTCTGTTGTAGAGAAATTATTATTCATTGCTTATATATCGCAATTATTAGCATCTTGGTACAAACTATTACAATAATAATTTCTGGAGCATCCGACCCAGATTTGAGGCTAAACTATTTTGAGATCCTTGCTCAAGCCATTGAGGTATTATTGTTTGTTTTATATAATTTGGAGTTTTCTAAGAATTACAAATATCTGTATTTTCGATTATAGAAACGGCTATTAAACGCTTTACAACGTCCAGATTTTGATCAAAAATACCAGCAAGCTGAGGTTATGAGCGATATCATGAGCGCTCTGGAGGTCCGTTATTTGCATAGCATGACTGCTCACGCAAAAACTCATTGTTATTATCTCATTGTTTCTGCCTGTAGATGTTTGATGGGCTCGCACTGGCCTCTAGTATTTCCAACAGCGCTATGGTGTTTTCTTTTTGCGCCAAATATTTCGAATCTTTTGTGCGAATATTACAATATTATCAAAACTGTCCCGAAGTTATAGTATTGGTGCTTCAATTCTTTAAATCATTTGTCAGTCACATCGAATTCAGTCAACTTACGACAGAACAGACTCAATTAGTGTACAAAACTATTGGCGAGATTTTTAAAGTCTATTCAGAGGCAAATTTGGGTATGATACTCGTTTTTTACTATATCTCGTTTTTTTACTATATCTCCTTTTTTTTCTTTGTCTGAATAGTAAATATCGCACACTATAAAATTATGTTACTTTTAAATTCATTTAGGCAAAAATATGTCGAAGTTAATAGAAGAGGGAAATGAAGAACCATATTCTGACATTTCTACTCTATTGGGTTTATTGACTGAATTGATAGCAACGGATCTCCACGGATTTTGTAAGGATTTTTTTTTATTGTTTGATTTTATTTTTAGTCGGTATTTGAGTTTATAAACTATGAATACTATAAGCCAAACCAGATTCTGCGCAAGACACATCAGGAAGTCTAAATGTTCCTAATATTGTATTTTATGGAATAAATCAATTGGTGCCGTTGTTAAACCGAGAAATGCTCAAGGTAATTTATTCCGGTTTTTTTTTACATTTAATTTTTGCGTATTTTTTTTTACTTATTGTTTATATAATTGGGTTGATTTCAATTAGATACCGAGAATGTGCGGTGGATACATTCGGCTTGTGTCCAATGTAATTGAATCCTATCCTCACAGATTGATAAATCTTTCTGCCGAACTTCTCAATAGTTTGATGGCTTCTTTGGAATTTGGAATCACGAAATATCCTTTCTATATCTATTGATATTGTTTGACACACATCTTTTTTACTGTACATAATTTAATTGGTAATCTTAACTTTCAAGCACTCCTATCTATGATGTTGCTCGTCAGGGTTATCAGGCTATCACACCATTGGCATTGTTTGTTCACAATGGAGAACGGAAAGAAAACAGCTTGGCAGTTCAGCATCTTTATCCTTTTCTAGATAAATTCCTACAGATCATTCTCGAATGTTTACTATTTAAAGACTTTGAAGCTAGTTTGATAGATCCAGCTGCCGAGTCCTTGGTTGCTTTGATTTGTGCTAGGAGAGTAAGTATTTATAATTAAATTTGAACTTAGATTTTCGTTTTCCATTCTAAGACTATGTACCTTTCGCTTTTAGAATTTCTATAATTCCTTGGTATCGTCAATAATTGCACAACAAGCTCCGGATATACGAAATCACTTGCAGGAAGCATTTTATAATTTGTCTATAAGCGTTCCAGAAACGCTTCCAGAATCAGTATTGCGACCTAGGGATGTATCCGGTTTTCGGGAGGTTTTATTCAGGTTCTTGATGAATGTTCGCGGATTCTTGAGAATAAAATGAGGATTGGAATATTCAATAGGCTATTTATCTCATACCGGACATAACTTATTTATAATATTATTTCCCAACACTAATGCACGATTATAAAATAAATAGAATATTATCACGCAGACGACACCTCATTAAAAAAGAAAAATGGTTTGATGATTAATTTGAATAATAAATATTATTATTATTATTAATTATTATTAATTATTATTATTATTATTATTATTATTATTATTATTATTATTATTATTATTATTATTATTATTATAATATTAGATCAAATAAATAAAACATTTATTATTATTATTATTATTATTATTATATTAGATCAAATAAATAAAACATTAAATATAATTTAAGTTAGATCAAATAAATAAAACATTAAATATAATTTAAGTTATACAAATTATTACTATGTAATAATCCGTCCTGCGGATAACGTACTCTAATAGAAAAACGAAAGCTTTTAAACATCAATAAATAAATATATAAATATATATCTATATATGTTTAGTTTTCATCATCAATAACGACATTATCATTTAAATAATTAACGAGTTCTATGATATTGATCCAAAGTACTCTTGAATGGATCACCGGAACGGCCTAATACAACTTCACCTTCGTCATCCCAACCATGTTTAGTTCTACCAAATCTAAATATGAGGATACCAATACCAGCCAAAATAACAACACCACCAACTACCGCACCAGAAATAATTAATGTTTTTGTGCTACTTCCACTGTTGGATGATGATGATGACGATTTACCATGGCCACCAGCAGTAGGACTTGTACCGTCTCCGTTTGCTGGCGTTGACGTTTCAAAAGATGTGCTTGTGCTTGTGATCGTAACTATTGTTGGTATATTCGATCCAGCATTTGATGTTGGTGCTAAACTGGGAGTCTGAGTGCTTGTAACAGTTACAGGTGCTTGGGTTTGTGTATTTGTGTCCTTTGATGATGGTTGTGATTGTGTAGATGGTGGTTGTGGTGCTGATGTTGTTGGGGCGGATGATGGTGGTGCTGAAGATGTTGGTGGTGGTGCCGCTGATGACGATGGTGATGGTGCCGCTGATGATGACGGTGCTGGTGATGGTGCTGGTGATGCTGATGGTGATGCTGACGTAACTTTATTAACTTCTTGTAGAATTATGAATATTGATGAGAGCACAAAAATTATATAGAACTTTTTTAGGGTTTTCATGTCTTGTATTTATTGTTTTTTTATTTTTGATTTATTAACTTATGTGAACGTTCGATTATCTGTAAATAAAGGATTGGTATATTAATATTATTGTTAATATTTATTTTCGCTTATTGACTGATTCCGAATATATGCTATTAAACTTGTTGACTAATTTGTTTTTAATCCTGAATATATGCCAGTATAACTTCTTGTGCATCTTTGAATTATAGTAACGACTGAAATTCGGTTGGTCTTTAAATAAATCTACAAATAATCCACAAGGAAAGGTGTTTGTACATACCTCAAACAAAGAGATTTGGGAATAAAACGAATTAATGAGATCTCACCACAACTTACGTAAAGTTTATCAAGTGGGTGTTTTTGAAACACCACCACAAAGCCAGCACCAATTTTGTTTTTAACGTTACATGTTTCCAAATAAGGATATTTTTTATGATTAATCACATGAATGACTTGCCTAATTGAATTGCCATTATCTCGGCCGCCGGGATTAAAACTCGTTTCTACTTTTAGCATAGTGAAGAGAGTTATTAAACTTCTATAGAATACTCTCGTGTAACTTTACAGGTAGTTTTACAAGGCAAATTGACAAGCACAAAATTTACTTTATCGTTTTTATCATTGTCATGAAACACAAAAATTTTTACTTTCATTTAAAAATTCGCATGAGCAGTCTTATACATAGTATTTTTATTGTATATTTATTGAATAAATAACAACCATCAACAAACACCACCACCATAACCATAACAGGGATGGAATCTTCTTCACCACACAAAAGCAATACCAATAAACACAATCAACATTTCTTAACGAATAACAGGCCTCAAAAACAAAAACTAATAGAGGCGGCAACCTTGCGTCCAACACGAGAGCATTCTACCGCTTCGTCCTCTTCTAGCAGTTTTACACAAGCAACTCCTGATAATAATGTAACACCTGATTCATTAGCTAGAGAAAATATTGACGAGACAGAACCTCTATTATCCTCATCGGACATTGTTAGAACTTTTGATAGTGTTTCTGTGATTCCTCAAGACGCCGATCCATTTCTTTTGGTTCATATGCGTCGAAAACAACCTCCGCCTCGTCCTAAATATGTAATCTTCCTTTTAATTTTAGCCTTTATTGATTTTAGCATTATCAGCACCTGCATGATACTATTAATCCATGAGGGTTCTTGGAATGAGCATGGGAAATGGCGTTGGGATTTATTAGAATGGGATATATTGAGTATGGGCGCTTTGCGCATCTTTACTGTCATATGTGTCGATTCATCACTCTGGCTCAGAGAATTAGGTTGGATCTTAGGAGGTGTTTGTGGGGTAAGATTAAATTGTTATTCGATCACTCTTCTGACTTTTGATGATACTTATTTATCCCTTTTTCATCACAGGGTTGCTCAATATATATTATATACAAGTCGAATATGATCTATCAACATAGGCGCGAGACACAATTTTACCATATAGCTTTATTAGCCGCTTCTGCTCTTTTTTGTTTAATTCATTTCATATCTTATATCCTGGTTACCGCAGATAAACGCCGCCGTGCGGCACTTTTGAGAAACGATAGCATCGAATTTCAGGAGGAGTCTTCTGACAACAACAACAATAATAATAATGATGATGTTGATGATGTTGATGACAATGATGAAAATGAAAATAATGTAGGAAGAGTAATTTAAGGTCGTTTTTAAGAGAATGACCAGATATTGAGGCTATGGCGAATAACAACCTATCATAATTTACATATTATTACTTTATAATATTTATTCGAGGAAATTTCATGTTTTATTGTAATAAAAGTGGAAATATTTCATTTTACATGGACGAGTCGTTAGTAAAAGGCAAGGCTATCAACTTTGAGATATTTTTAATTTCACGAAACAGAAAATCAAAAGGATTGACTATTTAGATTTTTTTACTATTCTTCTTCTCTGAACATATCACAAGACGACATTGACAGTATAAGAATATATAACGAGAATGCCGCTTATAAGACTAGAACAACATTATCAAATTTTACTTTCCCTCCTTCCATATTTTTCTAAAATCAGCATTCGATTTTCTTACAGTTTCATTGCTGGTTGTGCAATCATTGAAAGATGTTTTCACTTTGAGAGAAATTTTGGTTATTCCGAAAAGTTATTTCTCTGCCTTGATCATCAATTTTATTTAAAAAATGACATGTAAGAATTGTACATTTTTTAATGTCTTTTGTAAATGATAAAAAGATATTTAGGATTTTTTGATAGTCGATCGACGATGATATTTCCAGAGTTGGAAGGTCCGCTTTTATAATGATTTCGTTGTCATTCATGGTATCGATCGCAAGACCTCCTTTATATACCCAACTTCCCATTTTTACTAAATAAATTCGCTTTTTATATATCTTTATAGGATCGTAGGATCGTAAAATATTTTTTCTCTTTTATCATTGTCTTGATCATTTAGATCATCTATTATCATATTAACTTGTTCTGTAAGTCCAAGAGAATCTTGAATATCCCTAATGTTTTTCTCGCTAATGATATTATTGATCTTATTAATTTCCATATCATTAGTATATTTGTTGGATGCCTATTCGAATAAAGAATTTTTATTCGAATATTCGAGATCAATTTTGCAACTTATTCGAACAATCTTTGTTAACAAAATGAATAAAACGAATAGAATATTCTTCTTCGAAGATCGATTCGAATATAAGTAATTACATGCATGATTGGCTATAATAATTAGTCACATGAAAATTGTTTTTTTGATAACTAATAATCTATATTACTAGATGAGAGCAAACAAAAAATGAAAAAATCTATAATAATTTTTTAAAAGATTAGTAATTAAATTTGAATTTTTTTTAATGATATATTTTCTCACCTCGATTATTGTGGAAAAATATCAAATAAATGCATGTTTCTTTTAAGAAATATTATTTCGTGAACAATTTGTGAATTCGAGATACTAGATATTTTCTAGCTAGTCAATGAAGAATAAAATAATCATTTTTTTGGATTCTTCACCAATCTAATGGATTCATATCACGAATCACTTGATGTACATCATCATATTGGATAGTTTTGTTAACTGATACTACTTATAGTTTTGTATATTTTGTTACTGAGTTTTTCTTTTTTATGATGTTTATTATTATTATTATTCTTACTAAATTCTTTAATGATAGACTGATGAGTTATAAGAGAGTTAGAAATTGATGATAAAATATATAATTCATTATTGTAAACTTATTGAATTAATTCTTATATATCAACTTGTTATATAAGTGTTATTATCTTTTTGGTACAAGTTCTGAGATGGAGATAAGTATTTAATCTAATATTACAAAAGCACATGATAAAAGCATCCATGTGCTTAAAGCAATATTTGAAAGAGTCTTTAAAAGATTTATTAACAAGAGTATAAATGCTATTATTTATTTAAAGATAGGTAATGATAATATTCTTGTTGTGACTAACTAGGATATAGTTCAATTTCAAAATGTAATTTTCAAGACAGATATAATATTCAGTTTATTAACAAGATAAAATAATAGATCTTAATCAAGATCTATTTTATAAGAGAGATTTTTTAGAATTCTCTTAAAACTATAATCTAATAAAATGTGAATTAAGAATTAAATTCATAAAACTCAAACTAAATAATTAACTAACTAATAACTATCTTATTAGTTTATTAACTTATTAACTTATTAACTGTCTAAAATCACTAGCTAAGATATATCACTTTTATATATTTTAGAGATTATACAAATAATACTTTTATTATGATACTTATATTAGTTTTACTATGATCTAAATGTTACTTTAGCTAGTATCATAGTATTAGTTTTGTTATGATAGCATTGTTAATTTTGCTATAATAGTTTTACTAACTTTAATATGATAATTTTGCCATGATCATTATGTTTGCAAAATCTTCTAAAAATATCTACAAATAATATTCTCTAAAACTAATATTCAATAAGATATAAAGAATTATTTATCCAATCATATTGTGATATGAAGTGATCAATAATAAAATTAACTAATATTTTACTAAAAGTTTATATTATAATAATATTAAGAATTCAAGGATTTTTATATGAGAATCTAATAAATAATATAAGAGATAATTTATTATCAAACTATCAATATTATTGAAGAGATTGATAAAGCTTCTTTTATATTTGATTCAATACTTCTTTTGTTTTTTGTGATATATTAAGATCAAATTTTTATTTCTTTCTTGATTTACTTGAAGTTTCTTGATAATTATTAATCTTAATATTATTAATTTCTTGTAATTCAAGATTTAATAATTCATTAAAAATCATATTTATATCATTTGATATTTCTTCATTCATTTGAATTTTCTAATTTATCAAGAATAAACTGAAAGTTAAATATTTAATTTTACTTAAAATAGTTATTAATTCCTGAAAATCTTTAAGTATATCAAGAAAAGCTTTTATTAATTCTTATTCATCTACTATTTATTTAATTATTTTTTATCTAACTGTGTTTAATTATTTAAATCTAATTATATATATATTAATAAATATAAAATAATATACTTTAATTTAATAAGATAATTTCAAGCTAAAAAAAGTTAAATTTTATTTGTAAATACATTATTAATTTTTAAGTTATCTTTTAAAATTAAGATTTTTTGAGTTTAATATAATTTTTTTATTTATTTTAAAAAATAATTAAAAAAGTTACTTGATTTATAATATAAGAAGTTAAATATAAGTCAATTCTTTGTTAATAGATAATTGTAAAATATATAGAATTTTTTCAATATTAGATATTAATTAAATTATTTTAATATATTATCTGTAATAATTATCATTATTTTCTCTTTTAAATCTTATTTTTTAATTATTTCTTATAATAAAAAAGTAATTTTTTTCTAATATATAAATATTATTATTATAATAATATAAATTTCTTTAATTTTATAATTTTTCAAACTTCAAATTTTTAGCTAATCAATTAATCTTTAGAAAATATATGAATTTGAAGAATTTAATTAATATATTAATTATAAATTCAATTACAGTTTAGTAATAATTTTGCAATACTTTAGTAATACTTCAGAATTATAGATATATAATTAACTTAAAAATTAATAATAGTTTGTAAATAATTTATTAATAATTTAATAATAATTTAGAAATGATTCAAAAATAAAATTTATTTATTTTTTTTATTATTTTTTTCTTATAAAATATCTATTTTATTTATTATTTATCTTTTTATTTTAATTTTATCATTTATATTTTCTTTTAATTTATTATATATATCTTATTTTTTTATTTTATTTATTTATTTATAATTTTTTTATTTCAAAATTTATAATTATGTATTAAAATAATAAATAAGTTATGAAATCTATATAATTCTAAAAATATATAAATATCTTTATTCTCAAATATGAAATAAATATACTTAAATAATAATAATTCTCTTGTCTTTAATAATACTTAAAATATACTTATTTTATAATTAACTTTATTTCTTTATCTTGATATTTGTTTTTATTTATCTCTTTATCATAACGGATTATATTCTGATTAATCACATATTTTTCTTGTCTAAAAAATATAAATAGTAAATATTTTTTACTTAAAATAAGCCAAGTATATTTTATTTAATTTTATAAAATTCTTATAAACTTTTCTATATATAAAAGTTTTAATTATTTTTAATATATACTCTTTATTTACTTAATAATTAAAAAGATATTATTAAGAAGTTCAGTAAGAAAACTGAATTTATAGTTTTAGTTTAGTTATTTTAATTTTATATATTTATTTTTATTATATTTTATAATCATACTTCTTGTTAATTATTTTTATTTTTGTCTTATATTAATATAATTCTTATAAGTATTAACATTAAAAAATTTTTAAAATAATTATAATTCTCTTTATCTTTATAAATAATTTAGTTTTAACTCTCAAAACTTATTATAAATTATATTTTTGATAAAATCTACCTTCATGAATTTAGTTTATAATATTTAATATCTTTTCTATAAATTCAAATATACAGAAATTTTTTTTATTTTATTTATTATATTTATTTATTTATTTATTTAGTTAGTATTTTAAAAATTAGCTATTCTTAAAGTATTTTATTTTTATCTAAATAATTTAGAAGATTTATAAATATATATTATTCTTTTATTAAACTTCTAATTAACCTATATTTTAATAAATATAATTAAGAAAATTCTTGAAAATATTTATTTTATATCAAATTATATAATTATTACTCTTATTATTATTCTGCTAATTAAAATTTAGATAAAAAATTTATAAATTTTCTTATTTAAACTCAAGACTATTATATAATCTTTCATAATAGATTATCATAAAAATTTTTTGATAATATAATATAATAAAATTATATATTTAATTAACTTTAAAAAAAATTATCAAGT